CTACAGTTAGGACTTATTTTAGAATGTCTGAAGGATGATCTTACATAGATATTTTTCATGAGAGCAGTAATACAGCTGCATTAATTTACCTGGTAGGTGATTAATAGAGATGGGCTGAGGAGGCCATGTTTTTGCTTTGTAAAAACTGACTGATATCTCCTGGCTTTGCAAAACTGAAACCAGGGCTAGTTTGGGTCCAAATTCTATTTATTACAAACCACCCAAGTTGGTGAGTTCAAAGGTGGTTACAGATAAAAACCTTCTGGTCTGGGCCAATCTCTAGTTACCCCTTGTTTCATTGGACTAACTTAAAATATATCTGAAATTCTAATTAATTCAAAGTATATCCAGTGTTCCCTCTAATTTTTCCCACCCATGTTTGGAATAAATTTTGTTATGTGCACCAATATGGAGGTGATGTGTGGTGTGAGGGGGCTCAGGGCTGGGCCAGAGTGTTGGGGTGCAGGGGGGTGAGGGCTCCGGCTGGAGTGTGGGCTTTAGGGTGGGGCCTAGGGTATGGGAGGAGGTTCAGGGTTGGGGCAGAGGGTTGGGTGCATGGGGGATGGGACCAGGGATGAGGGGTTTGGGGTGCAGGCTGTCCTGAGCTGGGGGAGAGCATCTCTCCCTGTCTGCGGCAAGTCTGGAGCCAGGGCCGGGGGAGAGGTGCCTTTCCCCACTGCAGCCCTGAGCACCTGCACAGCCCTTGATAGGCTGCTGAGCCTAGAGGGAACTTGGTATATGACATAACTTTTTACTATATTTATTACTCCTGGGAGAATTCTGTGCCAGAAGTTTAAAAATTCTGCACACAATATTTTAAAATTCTGCATATTTTATTTGTTAAAATAACACACTATAATCAAGTCCAACAGGGTTTTTTTGTGGGGGGGCGCGCGAAGAGGTATTGTTAGGGAATTGGGGAACTTCCCCCACACGGACTCTGGCTAACCCCGAGCCTCTCCCATTCAATCAGGCACATCTGCCTCTGTCCCCGTGTGTCCCTGCACCCCTTGTGGCCTTGCAACCCCTCTCAGCCACCTCTCTTCCCCCTGTGGCCCTGCACCCCCTGCCCCCATGTGGCCCTGCACCCCTACATACCACCCTATCCCCTATCTCCATGTGGCCCTGCACCCCCGACTCCCATTCAGACTCTGGCTCAATGCTGTCCTCCACTAGCTCCTGTCCCCCCAGTAGCCTTTCTGATCCCCAGTCTGTGACTGCCCCAGTAGCCTCGTGTGCCCTGCTCTTTGGTTCCCCCTCCCCCCCAATCCTGTGCTGCCTCCCCTGGTCCCACCATCTGGGCTCTGTGAGGAAAGCAGCCTCTCCGCCTCCCTATCTGGGGCTGGCTGAGCCAGCTGCCCTCTCTTCTGGTGCCACAGCAGCCCCTGGTGGGTGAAAGGTGTAATTGAAGCGCCTCTCCGGCAGAATGTATTTTCTGCAGAGAAAAAATATCTGCGGGGTTCATGAATTCTGTGCATGCTCAGTGGCGCAGAATTCTCCCACAAGTACTTTGTGAACTGAGTTTTCATGATTTAAAACTGGTTTTCAGTATATTTTTCTTGCAAAGTCTGCCCTTAGCATAGATATTAGTGTGTATGTTTTTAGTAGTACACGGGCAACATGTTAATTGCAGAGTTTTGTGAGATGATGCAGTGCAGCTAAGAAGTGTGTAAGTGCCTTTTTTCTATTGCTGCTGCATTATATTACTGTATTTCATGGTAACTTTAATGTCAGAGAAATTAACATCTTATTTTTTACGCAGCCCTGTGAGTCCATCATAATCTTCCAGTTTTCAGACTTCCTCTCTCTGATTGGTTTGCTTGCATAGATTATAAAACCAGAAAGGACTCTTATTATAATCTATTCTGATCTCCAGTATAACTGAGACCATGACATTTCATGAGCCCAATAACCTGTGATTGAAGTAGGGCGCACATCTTCTGACTTCGTTTATGTGTATTTTAAACTGCTTCCTCTAGTTTTCTCTTCCTGTTTACCTTGCTATACAGTTTTTTGGTTATTTTTCATGTACTGTGAAATCCATCAACTTCTCCTGACACTGAGCCTTGTCCAAGTTGTCATTTCCCACCCATACCTTCAGCCATAAACTTTATCTTATCAATAAGCCTCATTCTTCCCTTTTTTATACCATTTGTGATCCTGCCCAAACTGACTGTTCTCTGCTTATATTTGAATACATTCCCCTCTACTTCCCACCTTAAACATTCAGTCTCTTTATTCCAACAAGTATCTTGATCCCACTGGATTTTCCACTTTGAGATTTGCATTCTTGATCCTGTCTTTTGGTGTCTTGTGTCTCCTTCATTCTCCACCCTCTTGATGTCTATCTCCATTCTCTCTACTATTCTTTAACCGACTTGCCCTATCAATTCACACTGTTTCCCTTGTTATACAGATTTTTTGGTTATTTTTCATCTACTATGAAATCCATCAACTTCTCCTGCTAGGACTTTATTTAAGGGGCCAAGAGCGCTTATTTAAATGTCTGAGGATTGCCATAGGAACATGTAAGAGGCAAAAGCATAGATTTAACTCGGGTAAACACCACTAAGGTGTTGATCAGATTAGTAATATTGGGTAATTATCTATCCATACCTTTATTTTTAACTACGTGTATTGTTAAATTGCTCTTTTTACAAATGAATATCACAGGCAACATTTCCTCCTTTGACTTTATTTTTTCCCCTGGGCTTCTACTTAATTCCTAAAACGTATTTCTTCTATAACACAGTATATCCCAGTGCTGTAGCTAGTTAAACCATTATGGAGGTGGATACAATCGTGGCTGTACAGTTGAGGTTGAATGAGGTAGCTAATATTGGGTGAACCCTTATGAAAGAAATAATCTACCAATACTTGAAGGATGCATGTACTAGATCCTAGATATCTTCATATTAAGTCTACAGATGACAAATTAAACCAGGTACCTCTGCATGATGGGGTCATCTGCTTATTTTCTTAAGGTTTTTACTACCTTAAAATGAGCACTCATCCCAGGCTCTTGACACCGTGAATACACAAACTCAATCAATTACTCCCAGATCAAATACCCCAGCAACAGCGTAAATAAAACAGTTTAATTTGTACTTGCACCAGAGTCCACTCTACCCACTAACACCTCCCATCCTTATGGGTAAGGGAGAAAAGTTAGATCACCATGGTCTGCTGAAAAGGCCTAACAAACTTGGAACACTGGAAAAAAACTATTGATGACATGGAGATCCTGCAGGAATTTAACATTCTGATGTCTGCTTCAGGTCTTTGGAAACTGAAAATAAAGTTACTCAGGGCCTGTCTACACTAAAAGTTATATTCGGTTGACATACAGCCACCGCAGTAATTACTGCAGTGGTTCGTGTCCACACTACCCTCCTGTTGGTGGTGCACATCCCCACCAGGAGTGCTTCTACCGACTTAAGAGGGGCAGTCTGGGGGCTGAGAGCCTGGGCTCTCAGCTCTGTGCAGCTCCCCGTACCCCCTGCTCTGCGCCCAGAAGCAGGGTGGCTGCAGCCTCAGGACAGCATCTGGCAGGGAGTGGGGAGCCAGGAGCCCAGGGGCAGCAGCCAGGCTTTAGCTGGAGCTCCCTCACCCACCTTGGGGTGACTGCCCGAGCTGTGACTGGCTTTCTTGTCCAATATGGGAGCCGTGAAATTGACAAGAATGACCATCAACAGCCGACGTAAGGAACGCAGTGTCTACAGGAACACTGCGTCGCCCTAACTACACTGAAACAAGCCCTATGCCTCTCGTGAAGATGGAGTTATGATGTTGGTGTAGTAGGGCACTAAGGCCTGGTCCCCACTTAGTCCGGACTTCGGACTAAGGTACGCAAATTCAGCTATGTTAATAACGTAGCTGAATTCGAAGTACCTTAGTCCGAACTTACCGCGGTCCAGACGCGGCCGGAAGTCTCCCCCCGTCGACGCCGCGTACTCCTCTCGGCGAGCTGGAGTACCGGCGCCGACTGTGAGCACTTCCGGGATCGATCCCAGAACATCGATGGCGTGCCGCCGGACCAGCCGGTAAGTGAAGACTAGGCCTTACATCGGAGGGAGCAAGGCTGTAGTGTGTACACAGACAGAATTAGGTCAACGTAAGCCACTTTACGTCGACCTAACTCTGTAGTGTAGATCAGGCCTAACTAATTCTTCAAACATGAGTACTTCTTGAGGGAGACTCTGTAAAGGAAAACTATCCTTGCTCCTTAACAGATAATTCTCCAAAGCAAAATGTCAGTAACTTCATTTTAGGTTGTTCGTTTTTTGTTTGTCTTTTGTTCTACATACAGCTTGATACACAGGTATTGATGCAACACTCCTCCTCCCCTCCCCCCCCTTTTTTTTGGTCTGCCTATGCTATACAGATATTGACTATTGTAGACATATAGGGTTATAACAGACTGAAAAAAAAAACCTATTCCATCTTTCATGTTGGCAAAAAAATCAGATAGAGGAAAGTGATTAGATTTCCTGCATTCAATTCTACAGTAAAATCTATAGGTCCTTGAAACATCAATTAGAGGAATGAAAAAGTATGTCTTTTTTTTTTTTGTACTAATGGTGGAAGGAAGTGACTCATGCTTTAGTGTAGAGTAGCTAAATCAGCTGTTCTGTAACTTTTTGTTGTGACTTTAACAGTAGAGATAAGTATCTTAAAACAGGCTTTTTTGCTGTACTCAACTTCAGTAAATTTTTCCAGCTTACTATCAAAACTCAGGCATATGTGAAGTGTTTGCTTAATAAACCTAACAGTGATCCATTTACTTATTCTCTCACTGCCCTTTGTAACAACTAGCTCAGTATTAGGAAGAGCTTTGTTGAGGCTGAGAATACTGGTGGTGGTAGTCAAGTGCTAGCTCCTAACTGGAGGGGGGATGTGGGGGGGGGGGTCACATGATAGTAAATCTAGGATTTCTTGCTTCATTTATGTGTGTGCATAGAATGTTATGGTCATTACTAGATCAAGGGATGTTGTTAATAGCTGATGGTAATTCCTCTGTGACCTATTCACTTAGGTAAATAAACTTTCCATTCAGAAAACACAAGGCATCTTGCTGCTCACTTAACTGAAGAAGCTGAGTTCATTTTAAAGTCTTCCTTTTCTTTGTGCAATCCATTTCATTTTTGAGTCCTTTTCTAATAATAAAAGAATCACTGCAAGAATTCTGCAAAAAAAATCAGGTAAAAATGCATTTTTTCTAAACAAAAAAAAAAGTTGTTTTAACAGAAAAATTATCCAACTGTTCTAATAATCTGGGGATAAGAAGCATTTTTAAAATGTACAATTGAAAAAACTTTATTTAAAAACATAATCAAGACTTGGAAAATAGTACAGGGTTTGATTAAGCTTATTTTAGCATTTTATATACATTTGAACATACAGGACTTTACAACTCCAGAGGATACACACACTGTGTTAGCTGTTTAATTGTAAGTGGTTGCTTTTAAATATTAAGCAATATTTACAGTAAGTGTTGCTATTGACCTTGTTACTTATTGATTAAGATGCCAACTTAAATTGAAGAGATGTACTTACATTACAAGATGTACAACTTACAAGAACATTGAGAAGATATGAAGTTGAGGTCATTTATTTTAGTTCATAGCAAATTTCATTTTGCTTGTCAGATTTTAAAACACGAACTTTTTGCCCTCAATCTATTATGTCTGCGGATGAATGATAGAGCTAGTTCAGGCATATTTTTATTGGGTTATATATTTTGCAAGATAAACTTAGTGTCTTTAAAACATAAATTCAGCTCTGTTGTGATTGTGTTGCAACTAGCAATAATATTGCATAGTATGAATACCTCTCTGAGCCAAGCAGTATAGAATTATTTAATTTGTTTTAAACAACCATATAATTGGCATCAGCTTTTTTTCCCTTTTGTTTGTTGGACTTGATGTATGGCTAAATTGTGGCATTATGCATTTTGGCTCTAGTTGCCGTGTGCTTTTGTTACTCAGCTTTCTTGAGTAACGGCAATGGAAAGAACAGTTGCTTAGACTAGAAATGTGTTACTCTGTATGGACTGATTTGTCTTATGCAGCAAGAGTTAAGCTGGTTACAAATTCCTTTTTTCCATGAGTTCTGGGGTGTTTATAACTTAGCTGTGAAAATTCAGATCACAGTTCACACTCAAACAGAGTTTGAGGTGTGAACCTGGGAGTGACCCTATATAAAGCAGAATGTAACTTTGTTTTTTTATGTAGTGTTTGTATAATTATAAACTTTCTCTGAGTGGGGAAAACACTCTAGCATTACAGATTAAACAAATATAGGATGAACCGCAGCAATGCACTGCAAGTTTAAAAAGGAATAGGATTCAGTTTAAGGATAAAAATCCTTTTGTATTTTTGGATAGATGCACATAATGGAAACATTTATTTATTTTTATTGTATTTATATATACTTATTTTCTGGTATTAGCCCATGATGGCAGAAATCTCATGGAAAAAACAGTTGATCTTTTGAGATGTTACCATTCAAAACGCTGACAATCTGATACCAGCTCCTGAGATTTTAGCACTGAATCTGAATCCAAAACCTATACCTGATTCACCTTGAATGTGAACTATCAATCAGTCCTCTGTATAGTTCATGGTAAGCCCATCTAAGCATAGGGATTTAATGACCAAATTTGCTTGGGCATTATATATGAATTCTAGCCATTAATCTCAATAGCAGAATTTGCCTCCCACTTCAGATCTTTTTGGTTGAGTTTTGAGCAGCAGTGGAAGGAAAGAAAAGGGAGGAAGGAAGAGATGTGAAACTGATGACCAGGAACAGAAAGTGGAAGGGGCAGAGCATCAAAAAAGGTGGCTTGTTAATGGATTTCTCTTCAGAGGACATGTTAAATAAAGACAAAGCCTATCAAAAAGAATATTGAGAAACTAGATGTTAGAGACTTAGTAGTTTAAACTGTATTGTAGAAGTAGTGTGTCCAGTTCTGGGCACCATGTTTCAGGAAAGATGTGGATGAATTGGAGAGAATCCAGAGAAGAGCAACAAAAATGATTAAAGGTCCGGAAAACATGACCTATGAGGGAAGACTGAAAAAACTGGGTTTGTTTAGTCTGGAGAAGAGAAGACTGGTGGAGGGACAAGGTGAACACAACAGTTCAAGTACATAAAAGTTTGTTAGAAGGAGGAGGGAGAAAAATTGTTCTTGTTAATCTCTGAGGATAGAACAAGAAGCAATGGGCTTACATTGCAGCAAGGGCAGTATAAATTGGACATTAGGAAAACTTCCTAACTGTCCGAGTGGTTAAGCACTGGAATAAATTGCCTAGGGAGAACATAAGAATGGCCTTTTGCGTCAAACCAGTGGTCCGTCTAGCCCAGGATTCTGTCTTCTGACAGTGACCAATGGTGCTTCAGAGGGAATGAACAGAGCAGGTTATCAGGTGATCCATCCCGTGTCACTCATTTCCAGCTTCTGGCAAACAGAGGCTAGGGACACTTCAGAGCATGGTTTTGCATCCCTGTCCATCCTGGCTAATAGCCAGGACCCATTGATGTACCTATCCTCCATGAACTCATCTTGTTCTTTTTTGAATCCTGTTATAGTCTAGGTCAGGAGCGGGCAAACTTTTTGGCCTGAGGGCCACATCGGGGTTGTGCAATTGTATGGAGGGCCGGGTAGGGAAGGCTGTGCCTCCACAAACAGCCTGGCCCCTACCCCCTATCCATCCCCTCCCACTTCCTGCCCCCTGACTGCCCCCCTCAGAACCTCCAACCCATCCAACCCCCCTGCTCCTTGTCCCCTAACCGCCCCCTCCCAGGATACCCACCCCCATCCAACCCCCCTGACCCCTATCCATACCCCCGCCCCCTGCCAGCCCCCCCGGGACTCCCACTACCTATCCAACCGCCCTTTGCTCCTCGTCCCCTGACCACCCCCTCCTGGGACTCCCTGCCCCTAACTGCCCCCTGGGATCCCACCCTTATCCAACCCCCCCTTTCTCCCTATCCCCTGACTGCCCTCCCGACTCCTATGCACATCCCCGCCCCCTGACAGGCCCCCCCGGGACTCTCACTCCCAACCCTCCCTGTTCCCCATCCCCTGACTGCCCCCCCAGAACCTCTGCCCCATCCAGCCGCCCACTCCTCCCTGAATGCCCCCCAGAATCCCCTGCTCCCTTACCCAACCCCCCCACTCCCCGCCCCCTTACCAGCAGCAGGAGCTTGCAGCTGTGACATCCAGCCAGAGCTAGCTGTGCTTCCCACGCTGCCCAGTGGGAGCGGCGGGCCAGAGCATGGTTGCAGGGGAGGGAGAACAGCAGGTGAGGGGCCGGGGACTAGGCTCCTTGGCCGGGAGCTCAGGGGCAGGGCAGGACGGTCGCACGGGCCAGATGTGGCCATAGTTTGCCCATGTCTGGTCTAGTCCTTCACAACATCCTCTAGCAAAGAGTTCCACAGTTGACTGTGCATTGTGTGAAGAAATACTGCCTTTTGTTTGTTTTAAACCTGCTGCCTATTAATTTCATTGGGTGACCCCTAGTTCTTGTGTTCTGAGAAGGAGTAAATAACACTTCCTTATTTACTTTTTCCACACCAGTCATGATTTTATAGACCTCTATTATATCCCCCTTAGTTGTTTCTTTTCCAAGCTGAAAAGTCCCAGTCTTATTAATCTATCCTCCTATGGAAGCTGTTCCATACCCATAATAATTTTTGTTGCCCTTTTCTGTACCTTTTCCAATATATCTTTTTTGAGATGGGGTGACCAGATCTGCATGCAGTATTCAAGATGTGGGCATACCATGGATTTATATCTTATCTATCCTTTTCCTAATGATTCCCAACATTGTTAGCTTTTTGATTGCTGCTGGACATTAAGTGGATGTTTTCAGAGAACTATCTACAATGACTCCAAGATCCCTTTCTTGAGTGGTAATAGATAATATAGACCCCATCATTTTATATGTATAGTTGGGATTATGTTTTCCAATGTGCATTACTTTGCATTTATCTACATTTAATTTCATCTGCCATTTTGTTGCCCAGTCACCCAATTTTGTGAGGTACCTTTGTAACTCTTCACAGTGTGCTTTGGACTTTAACTTTCTTGAGTAGTTTTGTATCATCTGCAACTTTTGCCACCTCACTGTTTACCCCTTTTTCCTAGATCATTTATGAATATGTTGAACAGTACTGGTTTCAGAACAGATCCCTGGGTCATAATTTACCTCTCTCCATTCTGAAATGGACCATTTATTCCTACCCTTTGTTTCCTATCTTTTAACTAGTTGCTGATCCATGAGAGGACCATCTCTATTACCCCATGACAGCTTACTTTGCTTAAGAGCCTTTGGTGAGGGACCTTGTCAATCGCCTTCTAAAAAACCTGAGTACACATATATCACCCTTGTCCACATGCTTGTTGGCTACCTCAAAGAATTCTGGTAGATTGGTGAAGCATGATTTCCCTTTACAAAAACCATGTTGACTCTCCCCCAACAAATCATGTTCATCTATGTGTGATAATTCTGTTCTTTTCTATAGTTTCAACCAGTTTTCACTGGTTCTGAATTAAGGCTTACCAGCCTGTAACTGCCAGAATTGCCTCTGGAGCTTCTTAAAAAAATTGGCGTCACATCAGCTATCCTCCAGTCATCTGGTGCTGTGCAATCTCAGTCACTGGAGATTTTTAAGAGCTGGTTAGACACACACCTGTCAGGGATGGTCTAGACAATACTTAGTCCTGCCATGAGTGTAGGGGACTGGACTAGATGACCTCTCAAGGTCCCTTCCAGTCCTACAGTTCGAGGGTTCTATTAAACTAACTGTTGGAGCATGGTACGTTACAATGGATAAAAGCCTCTGAAAAGCCCTTCCTTACTTATTCAGCACGATAAAAAAAGATTTCTATAAATACTCAGGAATATTTCTGAAAAGACTCAAGAAAAATAAAAGTCTAGTGAAAAGATTTTCACGTCTGGGTGCTTTTGCCAGACTATATTTTCCATGGTGGATTAACTTTGAACTACCAATTAAAAGTTATTACTAAATCCTGTTATAGCAGAAAGCAATTATGTTCTTAATCTTAAGATTTTACTAATGTCTCTTTCAGAGTGGATTTTTTACTTTTATTGCCAAGTCTTTTGTAAGTTACTGTCACAGGGTAGCTGCAAAGCCAATAGGTTTCCTTGTGAGGGTAATAGTGGTGGCCAGTACA